TAGGGAGCAATGTAAGATACAGAAAAAAATGAAATGCACAGATATAGGGTGGCTTGAAAACAGCACATGTGAAATAGGCAAAATACATTTAATATTAATAGTTGTTCCACACAACCAAGTTGACCCATTGTAGGAACTGGCCTTTATAAAAAGGGAGAGAAGCAGAAGCATGAACAACACACATGAATTGCCCTGTGAGATACACATTCCTAAATCATGATATTCATGCAGGATAATATTTTTGGCCATAGCATAACAGACATACAACATTGTGAATGTCCACTGAGCATTTCACTGTGCACTTAAATTGCACACTTATGCACTGTGGCCATGCTTTGCACAACAGAATCCACTCACTGACAAGTGTGCTACAATGATGCTAGTCTACATGGAGGCTGCATCATGTTCGACATGTAATATGTATACTATGTAGAGGATTGCTGGATTGCTATCCCCATTTGTCCAGTTCTGTATCATCTGCTTCAAGGGCGAGTGGCTATGCCAAATTCTCACAAGTTTTGAATTTCAGTATGCAAACTACCAGAATAATTGATAAAGGGGACTATTAAAATATTTTCCTTTTATTCATTTTTTGCACCCATTTACTGCCATTGTTTCTCTGACTGTTGCTTCCCCAATGCCATTTTTCTTTACTTCAAAGGACTCTTTCACTATGTGATCCTACATAATTGAGGATTACAGAGTGAACACGTTGTTTTCATGAAGCCACATAACCTTTCATGTTGGGCTATATGACCTCATTGATTACAAAAGAGAAAAGAGAAAGACAGAGAATATCCTTTTACTCTCAGTCTCCCTAATTCTGTAGAAGGAAGAGCATTACTATTGTGCTAACAACCAAGTTGCGTGTGCCCTGCTTCACTCAACAAGCGCAACTGCACAAGGGAATGCACATTAGTATATTTCCGACAATACCTTCAATGCATTCACTCACCTCCCCAAACACCCCTCTTGCAAACAGTTTCTTGGGAAAAACAATGCAATATAAAATAAAAGAAAGTGCATTTTGTCAAATACAAACATTGTCATGCACATCTCTGTTTTGGGGTCACAGTTATTATTACAATGCTTTCATATTGAACATAGAGCCAACCATGCAAAGGGCAGTTTTGAGTTGGGAAATATAGCCCTAATCCAATAAGCATTGACCATTCCTACTCGAAAGAGTGCCTTGCCTTCCAATGATACAAAAACAGTGCTGTCCATGTAGTTGTACCTGATTTTTAAAGTGGCAGTGCAGTTTAGCAGATGTGCTGCCTTATTAATGAATCTGATTGTTCTTCTCGGTTTTAGAGCCTGTTTGTTCCTCTTCAGGTCAATTCCATGGGAATGTAGTGAAGGGATTCAAGGCAGCCTCTATACTGATAGCCAAATTGTGCCAACTAGCTCTCTGTTGACCTGCCAAAATGGATTTGTTGTTCTGTGTTTTAGTCAACATATATTGAATCAACCCATGATTTCAGGATTAAAATAGAAATAATAACATAAGGTAAATAGAGCATGGTGATCACAGATCTCGTAAAGTATATATAAATTTTGATTCATTGAGGGAATGGGGGCTATCTGAAAATAGTTTTCCTTTAGCATTTTGTCCCATAGCAACTACATTTACAAGTTGTGTGTCCAATGCTTTTTGTGAAGTCAACCCAAGGTTCTACAAAGAAGTCGGATTTTTCAAACACAGTAAGAGGGGGTCTCTTTGGCCTTTCAATTATTATGGAGATCAGCTCCAACAATTCCATGATACTGGCCACACTAGACTTGGCTTCCAGATATATAGAAGTGTAAGACTGGAAAAGATCCAAAGCGAAGTGAAAATCCAAAATTTCTTGAAGGCCAAAAGTTATCCACCTCTACAATAACAGGATAGGGAAGGAATCTATATGGTCAACCCCTTTTGAATCCCCTCCTAGGTGATTGCATAAGTGTGCCCATGTTTGATGGTGGGTGGGGTGGAGGATGGGGTAGCCAGTCATTTCCCTTTAGATGAGTGAACCAAAATAGTCTTCACTAGCAACACCCTGAAGGATCCATAGGAAGTTTCTGAGGATGATGTTGTTACTGTGTGTTCATCTGAAGGAAAACAGCTAGATGAACCTCTCCTACTGTTCCCACTCTCTGGAAACACAGAAATTGTTATCTTGAAGGGACTGACACACGGAAAAGTTAGCTTTGGGGAGCAATTCTGGTTGCATGGTCAGAGCCAAAAACTAAGTTAAGATGCTATGAGTTGACCTTGGCCATCATAATTCACTAAGAATATGGAAGCCTTCCTCATTTGGTTTCTACAATGAAGAAGCAACTCAGTAAAAAGAAAAGGAACTAAATTCCATTGCTATGCATTCTTATTTGACTAGCAAATGGCTGTTTTATGCATCAGACTTGGATCCAATCTTGGTGACACAATGGAGGACTATTGTAATCAGTGGGGCTTCAGATAGTTGTGAATGAGTCCCATTGATTTTAATGGCATCAATCTAGTTGTGACTACGACCATCTCAAACAACATAAACTCAAGGAATGTCCCACCTAAAGGCAACATTAGCAGACAAACAAATTAAGAAGTTTTGATGACAGAAGTGTACAATCAGGTGGCAGATTAGTATCAGAATTAATTCCCAGAGCTGTTCACAAAGCCATATTCACCAAGAGTCATTAATTGTTATTGTCATGTGTATCGTAAGTGAAAAAACTTTTAGAATTACAATTGATGGAAATGTCATTGTACAACCAATCCATTCTCCAGCTATAAATCCTTCAAGGAGTGATCCCAGTCAATAACCCTTCAATTTAAGCATCTCTTACTGGGCTGATGTAGTACATCCAAAGCATTCATTGTTTAAAGTAAAAAGTTGTCAGGGGTATACTACCACTTGGCTATGGAGCTCATGCTTTGCAAGTATCTCCAGCTCAAAGGATCAGGTAGTGAGAAATAGGGAGTTCACTTATATTGGGTCAGACTATTAGCTTAATATCTATTCTGATCTGCAGGACTCAAGATTTTAGGTAAGATTATTTCCTGGTTTTAATTGGAGATTCCTGGCATTTCTTGATGGTCTCCCATTTAACTACTACATCTATTTCCTACCCTCACTTCCAAAATAATATCAGGTAATGTGAAAGAAAGGAATTTGCTATTCTAATGAGTAGAAAACAATGCAGGAACAGAATGCCCCACTTGATACACATGTAAGAGTGCTCCACTGGCTGGCCCTTTATGCATGATGGTCTGGTTGGCATTAATTATCTCCCTCAAAAGGAATCATCAAAAATGTAAGTGAATTGAGATTTGCTCATAGACAAGAAGAATCATGGGTACCAATGACAGAAAAATAACAACACCAGGGCCATTCTTTTGCTCATGCTTATGAAAATGAGTCCTATATTGTACAATCCACAAGCCACAAAGGGGAAAGATTGACCAACTTTCTGATGAGTTGAAAGTGCTTTACAGATAAGCACAAACCGAGCATCATGCAATCCCCTAGGGCGAGGTATAATTAGACCCATTTTACAGATGGGGAAACTGAGGCACAGGGAAATTAAGTCATTCATTTATGCAAATTCCCTCAAAATAAGAGAATAAACATTATAAATAGAACCTGGAAATGTCTCCGCTAATACTATTGTTGAAAAGTACTGGTTGAAATGTCATCACCACTGAAACCAAGAACAAAATAGTTGTTGATTTTTTAAGGAAATAATATACAACTTTTGCTGTGCTCACTTGGTGCCAGTTTTTGTAATATTGGCAGAAGAGAAGGAATGGCTCTACTGACAGTTGGCTAAGGTTGATCAAACTACGCTTCATAAGATAGAATAAGAAAATTATTTATCCTAATCCACAAAATTCTTAATTAAGTTGAATCATATTTCAGTGGAACCTCAAGAGAGAGAGAGAATCCTATTGAACATATTTGGACACTATAAGCCAGCCACATTTGAGGGTGGCGAGGGATCCTTAGATTGTTGAAATGCACAATACGTGGTGATCCTAGACAATGAGACAATACCATATATACTCATGCATAAGTCTAGAAATTTTAGTCAAGAAATTGATCCCAAAAACATATTATTCATAGTCAACTGATATATACCACCCCCTTCTTGGACTAGAGCAGTGAAAAGCAAGAGCTTAGTCTATTTCCAGAAGAAACTAAAAGAAACACCAATCTTCTTCATCCTGGGATTTCTTCTGGGCTTTTTGAACATCTTGGTAAAAAAATGGTGGTGATGGTGACCAAGGTGGTTGGACTATTGCTTTCCTCTTTCCATAGAGTGACCCCCAACTTATCCAAGGATCATAGTAAAATCCATAATTTTGGGCCCAAAACCTGTTCTTTGACTTATATATGAGTGTATATAGTAACTGTTATCTGTTGATTATGCAGGAAAGAGACATAAAGCCTATTACAATCCCATGGAAATCCATAAAACTTAAGGAAGAGGGTTAAGTACTCATTAGGGCTGGGCGGTTTCGTTTCGTTAATTCATAATTCGTTAATAATTCGCTAATTTTTTCAATTACAAAACGATAACGAACCATTCTGGAGCAATTATTAAAAAAAACGAATTTCAAAAACGTTTTGTAAATGCTTCGTATTTCGATATTGTATTCGTTTCGTTATTGTTTTGAGGTCGTTTCGTTATTATTTCCGCATGTCTGGGCCAGTTTTATGGTTTAATTAGTGAAAAAAAATTATAATATCACACCAACAGTCAACAACAGAGGGAGAGGGAAGCTTAAGAAGGTTTTGGAGGTTTTTTAGCGTATTTCGCGGTCGCGTCCGCCATTAACGAATCGATTCGTTATTGTTTCGGAAATCGATTCGTTAATTTTTTACCATTTACGAAATTTCGTCAATATCGAACTTTTTAAAAGGAAAATTTTGTAATTATTTTAAATATCGAAACAAAAAAAACCCAAATACAAATCGATTTTAGAAACATTTTTTTCCGTTGTTACCCAGGCCTAGTACTCATGTATCCTAGAGTTCAAGGCAATTCAGAGTTGATTTCATACTTGATGGGATTAGGCACAGTTGCCTTATATAAAGTGTGGCTCCCTATCATGAACACATAACATATGAAGGAGAGAAGCATTATCTCCAAATGCATAGTAGCTGCACTGCAGAGAACCACATCCCTAGGGAACATCTATGATATGTCTGTCCTGACGGCACAGATATATGTCTCCGCCACATGGAAAGCATATTTCTTACAAAGGCAACACAAATGTAAAACATGCCTGCTACCATTAAGTATAAAATGTGACCTGGCTCTTAACCACAGAGACCCCAGAGAGTGTTAGCTACCTTTGAATCCCATTTCGAATCAAGGGAATATAAAGATTAAAAATGGCTTCAGACCCATGGAGTTCCTTGGGATTGAAACTCCTAGTTGACAGCAACCCAGAAGGCATTAGGCACATTTTAGCCAATTTTGAAATAATACAAACATAAATATTGCATAATAATAATAATAATAATAATAATAATAATAATAATAATAATAAGCATTTAGGTCCTCTGGGGTTTTAAGGTATGCCACACTCTCTGACTCAGAAGAGCATGAGAAATGCCTTCAAAAATATAAACAAAGGGAAATCTGGATGAACAAAATTAACAAACATGATTTCAATGATACGAGCAAGAATTCAGTGAATAACCAAGACTTAAACAGTACGTTGAACATGGAGATATCTCATAATAATAATAATAAAAGATATATTCTGCAAAGGGAATTTGTCTGAAAACTAAGATTTCTTTTGCTGACAAAATGCAACATCTGCCTCTGTTTGGGAGCATTTTTTTCAATCCGGCATTGACCTGACCCTTGGTATACCGAAAACATAATTTTTGTAATTTTAAATCACGGAAGAAATTATCTGTACCATTTATAGTGTAAAGTCATGCAAAACCATGCTCCAAACTAAACCACTTAGTTTTGGCAGCATGAACAGAACCGCATTATTCCACCGAATGAAATGGTGTGGAATGACTATCACTAATACCAGCATGCAGTGCAGCCACCGGTGTTGTGTTGTGTTGGTTTGTTTGAGCTAGGAAGCTTTGGGTGTGAGAGTGAAATATACAAAGTTCATGTTTACATTGAGAGAAGAAGCCAGCCAATGACTCTGCCCAACCCACCCGTATGGAGAACCTCACACTGGCTTGCTCGAAGGAGTCCATATAGAATCAGAAAGCCCATCTCCTGTTGAAGACAGAGGCATAGACCCACTTGGGGTAAACGGGTCAGTATCTGTGTCCGTTTCACCCTCGGCCAAGTAGCGTTTTTCTTTCATCCAACTTGAACCTCCATTTGGCCCAAAAAGGAAATCGTCTCTGTCTTGGGAGATGCTGAATCCACTTGGTGAACGTTCAAGTTCTTCATGGTTGACCGAGAGGAGGGATAACGGGGTGTCACTGTCTCGCGTTAAGCTGTGTTTTTGTCTGGAAGGGATTCTTTCTGAGTGGGGGCTCTGGAAATCACCTGGCGGTGACTGGTAGGAAATGTGGGGGTCGATGAATGTAAGTATAGGCAAAACTGTTGGCCTTTCTGTGTATGAGGTCGAAAATGGCATGGCCGGCCACCGACTGGAGTTCTGCCCACCAAACGGAGATGGAAATGGGCCACAGCTTTGGCCCTGCGATGTGAATCCAAAAGGAGGGACTTTGTTCACAGGAACATGGTGGAAGCTTGGAGGCTTTTCATGAATGGAAGGCTCAGAGTATTTGTAAATGATGGATTTCAGCTCCGAGTATCTGTTATCCTCTACTGGGGATGAAGTTTCTTTCGAAGGGCAAACCTCTGTGACTTGGACTTGCAACTGCTCCATATGCTGCATGTGCATATCGACTAAAAAATCCAACTTCTTCCCCATGTCATGAACCTGAAAGAGAACACTCAATGAGCAATGTTTCATCTGTGAAATGTTGGAAATGCTTTCCGAAACCTACTTGGAGATAGAGTAAGTTACTCTAGAGGTCTTACTCATGCAAAATGAGCATTCTACTACTGGTGCTAAGCCATAGACTTTTTTCCAAATGCTTTTGTGTTGGGTTTTTGGGGAGAGCTGGTTTTGCAATGTAGATAGCTCCTATGAAGTTCAGTCTAAAATCTATGGCTGATTATCATCTCCATTGATATAGAAGCTACCAGCTTCCATGAAAAGTCTATATGAAAATGAATTATTGCTGATGCCTTGGAAGACTTGTATTTTGAAAATATTGTATTTATTGCATCATATTTTAAATATAATGAATAAGATTAGTCCCAAATTATGTATTTCATGATGTTCTGTAGTGCTTACTCTGGCTACAAATGCCTATAGATTGAAATTACTTAATGAATATTCTTTATGAAATAATATCTTGTGCTTTCTGTTGAGTTAGTAGCTCTGATGGCTTGAAAACAGAGCTGAGAATCTGTTACAAACCATCAGGGCTACTAACTCAATAATTTTGAGTACTATACAAACTGTGCCTTTGAAAAGTACCAGAAAGTAGGAAGAAACCAATCAGTGACAGGGTTGTACAAAATCTTAGTTATAAAGCCAAAAGAGAAGGAATCAATGTAAAGCCCTAATTATTTCATACCTGTCTTTCGACTCTAACAAATTTGCCCATCATACTTTGGTCTTCAGAATCTACTGTAGATGCTTTGGCTATGTACGGCTCATTCCTGAAAAAGAAAAAAGAGAGAGATTAACAACATGTAAACCTTTCTTAACCTTTCCATGAATAGTTCTGCCTGCAAAATATTTCATACCCCATAGCACACAAAGCAGATACATAATAATCCCAAAGTAAAGACTGTTACGAAAAATAATTATTGTACATACTTGGTTTGTATATGAGCATTTGTATGTGAATCAGAATAACAGAATCATAGAATAGAATCATAGAATCATAGAGATGGAGGAGACCTCATGGGCCATCCAGTCCAATCCCCTGCCAAGAAGCAGGAAAATCGCATTCAAAGCATTCCCTACAGATGGCCATCCAGCGTCTGTTTAAAAGCCTCCAAAGGAGGAGCCTCCACCACACTCTGGGGCAGAGAGTTCCACTGCTGAACAGCTCTCACAGTGGACCTCTCTGCCCCAGAGTGTGGTGGAGGCTCTTTCTTTGAAAGGAATAGAAGCCGGAATTCATTGTGGTTGGCTTTACTGTACTTGATTTTATAGTTTCAGCACTGAAACTACTAGCTGTTGTATCTACATTTGCTATAATTGTTTTTCTCTTTGGAATATATAAATTGATCACCTTAGTAGTAATCAATTCATAGCTCTTGATTGATTAAAAACATCCTTCTACACAACAGATTGTTCAGACCTTCTTTCTATGGCTATCTTTATCGCTTAAAGGATTACAGGGACTTAAAAATAGAAATCTAATTAATATTAGCCTGTCCTTGATGAGATATGTTATCTTGGCACATTACAACACTCTGGTTTTTAACAATAATGGGGGGGAGGGGAGAGAACAGGAAAATACAAAAACAAATGCTTACTAATCAGGTCTGTATTGGGAATGCCAATAAATGCTGCCCATGTTTCTCTTGTACTATTTCTTTTCTATTGACAAGACACCAGTATCCTAAACTCACTATTTATTTATGCATTTCCAAGTCTGCCCCTCTCCATATCCACCTTGAGAGCCAGCTGCCAGATTGGGCGAAAGGGGCCAATTCAGTTTTCAATTGAGGCTCAACGATGAGGATATTTACAATTCTTTCCCACAATTCAACAAAGCCAAAACAAAGACTTCCTAGATGGGTTCTACTTCTGGTGTGGGGTGGAAATGCCATTGGAAGCAGAATGGATCTATTTCACCCAATTCAGTAAGTGGCTCTTCAGTAAGTGGCTCAAAAGTTTAACCTGAAGATGTGGGGGGTCAATTGTACATTTGTTATTGGGAAAAGGGGACTAATAGCATGTACTTCATACTTTCTTTTAAAAGTATTTCAAGATCTCTTTAGGGCATATTTATATCTTTAAATCTGGTTACACTACACTCATTTCAATCTATGCAGAAACATTGCATAGCGGCATCCAGAACCTGCTTCATACTGACACTAAGCGCATCAAATTAGATTGATGCAAAAGTTGGAAATCTGTTCCCAGTGAGTTGCACACAGAATAATGTCACCTTGGGGACTGCTGTGAAGGGTAAGAGAATGTTCCTCCCTTTTGGGATTTCTTATGCTTGGGAGTAGATGGAGGTCCAGGAGCAAAAATCATGTCTATTCTGAAAGAAGACAATAACAGGACACAGTGAAAAGGTTGTCATTCAATTCATCCATCCATTAATCCAACCAACCATCCATCACAGTAACCCCCCTTTCCAAAGGAATAGTATTACTTTAATAGTATTATATGTTTTCCTAGGTGATTAAACTTTAGTCAAATGTAGGATATAAATCTTCTCAGCCCTCTTCTATACTGCCCTATATCTTACCGTCTTCTAAAGCATCTCCTAAACTCTCAACTCAAGAGTGGGTGAGGTAATGTTTGTAGACAGGGTGGGCTTAAAGCCAACCTTTAAAACTGTGGCATAGACACCAAGAACTAGGAAGCCCTGGCCCTTGAGCACTCTAACTGGAGGTCAGCGGTGACCAGCAGTGCTACAGAATTTGAAGTGGCACAAATGGAGGGTGAAAGGGAGAAACTTGCCAAGAGGAAGGTGCATCAAGCCAACCCTGACTGGGACCACCTTCCACCTGGAAACCAATGTCCTCACTGCGGGAGAACATGTGGATCAAGAATAGAGCTCCACAGCCACCTACAGACCCACCTCCAAGACACTAGACTTGGAGGACCATCATCCTCGGGCTATAAGGGATCATATAAGTAAGTATATGTCAGGATCCAATCCCAGACTATCTGCTTTAAACTGGATAATATGGGTCTCCACTGCTAGATATTCCGTAATAAGAAGATAATCTCGGATCAGATCCTGGGATATAGGGGCAGTGTGGAAGGGGCCTAAATATACTGGTCAATCAAATCAATAAGGCCAGATCCCATTTGACCTGAAGAAAAGTTGCTTCAATGTCTGTGTCAATATTGATTAGTTTCCTTAAAATATGTCCATAATGAGATATCTTTGAGATAAGGCCTAAATCTCAAAATGAAATTTATTTGTTCTGCATTTGCATCTCTCTGTTCACACCCAATACACTTAAGAAGTCTGTTTACTCACTCCAGCTCAGTCTCTTCCTGATGTTTGTTATATGAGAATTAAAATGTCTTACTAGAAAAGCATGGGAAAGTTACTTTTGTAGACCAGGGTAGTCAAACTGGGTCAGGATTCTGGAGCTGTAGTTTGAAATTTTAATGTCCTCCAATCTCTGTTTACAGGATAGTTAACAAGATGGTTAAGATAGTCTTTATAGTTTTCTTTATGGACACCTTGTTCTTGCTAAACATGCAGTTTACCCCTGTGGTTCTTAAGGTAATCTTTAAGTGGGGTCCATTAAAGGTTTTGAATAGACTCATAGAGTTGGAAGAGACCTCATGGACCATTCAGTCCAACCCCCTGCCAAGAAGCAGGAAAATCATATTCAAAGCACCCTCGACAGATGGCCATCCAGCCTGTTTAAAAGCTTCTAAAGAAGGAGCCTCTACCACACTCTGGGGCAGAGTTCCACTGCTGAACAGCTCCCATAGACAGGAAGTTCTTCCTAATGTTCAGGTGGAATCTCCTTTCCTGTGGTTTGAAACCATTGTTCCACGCCCTAGTCTCCAGGGCAGCGGAAATCAAGCCTCCTCCCTCCTCCCTATGACTTTATGCATAGCCATCATGTCTCCTCTCAGCCTTCTCTTCTCCAGGCTAAACATGCTCAGCTCTTTAAGCTGAGCCTCATAGGACTTGTTCTCCAGACCCTTGATCATTTTAGTCACCCTCCTCCGGACACATTCCAGTTTGTCAGCATCTCCCTTCAATTGCAGTGCCCAGAACAGGACACAGTGTGGTTCCAGGTGTGGTCTGACCAAGGCAAAATAGAGGGATAGCATAACTTCCCTGGATATAGACAGTAGACTCCTATTGGTGCAGGCTAAAATTGGCTTTCTTTAAGCAGCCACATCACATTATTGGCTCATGTTTAACTTGTCCACGAGGACTCCAAGATCTTTTTCCCAAGTCCTGCTGTCGAGCCAGGCATTGTCCCCCATTCTGTATCTTTGCATTTCATTTTTTTTGCCTAAGTGGAGTATCTTGCATTTGTCACTGTTTAACTTCATTTTGTTAGTTTTGACTAATCAGCTCTGTAATCTGTTGCGATCATTTTGAATTCTGCTCCTGTCTTCTGGAGTATTAGCTATCCCTCCCAATTTGGTGTTTTTCCTCCAATGCCATTGATTCGAACCATATAACTTCATATCTTCTTGACAGTAGATCTCTTACCTTGTTTGAAGGTATTTGATTCTGGAAAGCATGTCAAGGTGTCCTGCTGAATATTGCTCTATCACATCCTTTACATCATAAGGCCGCAAAGTCTCCTTGAATCTCTTCTTGTAGAGGCGGAACTGTAGTATTCTGATACAAAAAGAGGAGTTTCACTGGTGGATTTCTTTTTTTCTTTTTTTACAATACCTCTATCAGAATTGTAAGTTATGGCTTAGCAATGTAGTCATCACACAAATCAGAGGTACTTCTGTGAAAAGGATTCAATTAAGTATCAAACTACTTGATAAACAACCCATGCTTTACCTAACAGCTCGGATGACTGCTTTCAGTGTGGGGATCATGTCTTCAGTAATGAGTTCATTGCTGTACCCTCTGTCTTCTGCCAGAGGATCCCCGGTTCCAGCATCTAAAAGGAGCAATAAGTTCCCACAGGGACAAAGACCAGTTTAAAAAAGAGATAAAACACAACAAAGTTGCTCATACAGTACAACTGGCCCTCAGTATCTGCCTGAGATTTGTTCCAGAACCCATGGACCCTAAAATCGACTGGTTGTTCATGTTCCATTATATACAAGGGCCTAGTAAAATGGCATCCTTTATTTAAATGGTGAATAACTCAAACAAATGCTGGAGAGAGCCTGAGGATTTGTGAGATCACAGAAGATTTACAGCAGGTTAAATCTGCATATCAGTGTATAGCAAAATCAAGGATAGCTGGGTTGCTGAAAGTTTTCTGGGCTGTATGGCCATGTTCCAGAAGCATTCCCTTCTGATGTTTCACCCACATCTATGGCAGGCATCCTTAGAAGTTGTGAGTTTTGTTGGAAACTAGGCAAGTGAGGTCTATATATCTGTGGAATGCCCAGGGTGGGAGAAAGAACTCTTGTTTGCTTGGGGCAAGTGTGAACGTTGCAATTGGGCATCTATATTAGCATTTAATGACCTTGTAGCTTCAAAGCCTGATTAGTTACTGCCTGGGGGAATCCTTTGTTGGGAGGTGTTACCTGGTCCTGATTGATTCTTGTATGGGATTCCCATTTTTTGAGTGTTGCTCCTTATTTACTGTTTTGAATTTAGAGGGGGTTTTTTTTTGTAGTACTGGTGGCCAGATTTTGCTTATTTTCATGGTATTCTCCTTTCTGTTCAAATTGTCCATGTCAGGAGACAATGCTTCTGGAATATGGTCATACAGCCTGGAAAACTCACAGCAAGCCAGTGATTATGGCCATGAAAGCCTTCGACAACACATCAAGGATAGCTGTTTGGATTTTTTTCTGACTTTTTTCAATTTGTGGTTGGTTGAATCCATGGATGTCGTTGGTCCTTCTTAAATCCCCTTCATTTTCCAAGGAACAGGTAGCACTATAATTTTAATATGATACTCCCACAAGAAATTATGGCAATAAATTATTTTATGATTTGGAGTTGGCCCAAAAAAAAGTATTGCTGTTTATGGATTTGGGGTTTTACTGAATCCTTTCTACTATAATGTTCCTGCTCTTATTTCAAATGAGTAGGAGAGTGAAAGTGATATTTGAACTTGAATCATCGAATCATGCCTTGAACATGAGTACCAGATTTCATTTCAAAAGGTCAATATACCGCCACATGAACAAACGAAATGCTGAAGAGGTCAATAGTGAAAGCAAAGCCATAGCTCTTCCCAGCCCATAAGAAGAATACCTTTTAAATACTTTCACATTTAAAAATCATAATACCGTAATCTTGAAATGAAAAGTGTTGAATCAAAACATCAAGTTTTATTAAGTGCAACATTCCATTTCAACTCTATTTAAAATGACACAACAAGGCCAAGGAAGGAAAGTAAGAAAATAGGGGTTTGGCTGATGACGTAATATGGAAAAATGAATGAATGAATGAGAACATTTACCTTCTGAGCTTTGCCAGAACGCATAAGCTTTCATTCGGAATGCAGTGCGAAAACGCTCTCTATTATTCAAGACTACAACACTCTTAGGTTCTTTAGAAGGACTTTCTTCAATTGCATCTACATTCAGAGGGGTAAATAGCTTTCCTTTAGTATTGGTACCACGAACCCGATCCAAGAGACCCAGCTTTTGGCTAAAAAATAAGGAAAAGGGATCAATTTTTCCCCTTCATTCGAACGCAGACCTCCATTTCAAGGTGTTCCTAATGCATTACCTCCCAAGCAAACAAATAGATGAAGGATGTCAAGAAGGGCAAAATGGCAGCTGATGATATTTATGGACAGAATGTTTCTGCAAGCTTCCAAATGACACAGCCATCATTCTCCACCCTCCATCCCTACCAATACTACTGAAAAGTCCAGCTAAAGTATTTCAATACACAATAGGGTGGTCTGATCATAAAAAATTAATGCACAACATTTATCCTTGGTATTTTCAGGCAGCTCTGAACAAATGGCACCAGTATGTTGATTCCTGTAAACATTTATGACATTTGGGTGAGGTATAGCAAGCAACAGGTTACCCATCACTGTTGGTTGAGTTCTAATAATGCCATAAACAATGTGATTCCAGAATTCCGTGGTAAAAGAATTAGTGGGTCAGCACCCTCCCATGGCAATAGGATCTCTATCTGAGGTCAATAACAACCTTGGGAAACACAGAAAAAAGTGCATGTTTCAAAGAAATCCCAGGTTGTCACTAGAAACTAAGGAATGTCTCCGAATTTTGATTCAACAGTGGCTTATAGAGAGCAGAGGGTTGGATTGGAGAAGCACCTGGTGGTGTCACCATAGTCCAGTGGTTCCCAACCTGTGTGGCCTCAGGTGTTTTGACCTACAACTTCCAGAAACCCCAGCCAGTTTACCAGCTGTGAGGATTTCTGGGAGTTGAAGGCCGAAACATCTGGGGACCCACAGGTTGAGAACCACTGCCATAGCCAGACTTGAAATGATCACATCATCCATTCACGTTGGCCAAGGTTCTCCAAAGGTTTCAGCAGATGATGTAAACATTTTGATTCTGGCTAAAGTGATAGAGCCAGACATTTCTCCAACTCCTCCCTGTTCTCTACCAGCCACATTTGTGGAACTGCTATATGACACATAGGATGCCACCATGATATCCTCATTACGTTGAAGTGTTCTGAGGGGAGCCATCTTGGAGAAATTTTTCCATTTTTAGATTTAAAAATAATCCAAAGCATTACAGCTTGAATATCCCTTATCCGAAATCCTTGGAACCAGATGTGTTTTGGATTTCCTCCCAGGTTATGTTATTTGCATATATGTACATAATGAGATACCTTGGAGATGGAATTCAAGCCCAAACACAAATATCTGTATACACATAGCCTGAAGCTAATTTTATACACAATATTTTTAGTAATTTTGTGCATGTAACAAAATTAGTCTTCACTCAGTCATTTGAAAACCAAGGTGTCACTACCTCAGCTGACCATGTGGACAATTTTGGACTCTTTTGGATTTTCAGATTTTGGCATATAGGATGCTCAACCTGTACAAAGAAATAATGTCATTTTTGAATAAGAACTGCACATTAAAAATCTGAATGTTAGCATTTCCAAGCTCTTTTCTGGATGGTGAGAAAATATGATCAAAACCTGGCATGAGATGGGGAATCACATGTGTTGAAAGCCTTGTGAATTTCCTTTCAATGTCAAGAGGACATTGGTGTATTACATGCAATCCTATAATGAATAAGGCAGGATGAACTTTATTTGCTGATGAGTCCCTGAGATAAATATTAGGAATCTGGTCAGACCTCCAGGTACATGTTCAGGATCCCAAACATCAGGGAAAGCTCTTTTACAAAGTTTTTGCAGAATGAACACATTGCTGCAGAGTGATACTCTATAATCTTAATTTCTGAATTCCAGAATGTTAGTTGGAACCAGATTTGGAGTCAACCTTGAAAATGAACAACTATAGGCTTTTTGCTACTCTGGCCAAGCGGACAAAAATTGGAAGGGAAAATGAAGAAAAATTCCACAGTGCTTATTGCTTCTGCTATCATTGAGGTCCTACCTAGGGTTCATCTATACTGTAAAATCAATGCGGTTTGACTCTACTATAATTGCCATAGCTTATTGATATGGAAATGTGGGAGTTTGAGGTTTGAGGCACCAGCACTTTTTGGTTGAGAAGGTTAAAGACTTTGTTTTTTTTTAAATAATTTTTTATTGATTTATCACATTTATTACATACTATTACATTTTGTACATCAACCTCTTTAACATGTTGTTTTGTTGTTTTGCTCTGACATTTCCCCCCCTTTTCTCTTTTTTTCCTTTTTTCACCACAGTGCTCCCCTCCACCCGTCTCAAGCCACCATTCTTACATTTCATCTGTCCAAAATTTCATTTCTTCTTGTGACGGTAATTTTCCTTCCTTATTTTTTAATCCATTTACCACAAATCTTCCCCATACAGCATCAAAATCGCTTTGTTTCCATATACCTTTTTTAACCTTTAATATACATGTCAATTTATCATTTATTGCTATTTTCCATGCTTCCTTATACCACTCCTCTATTTGTATATTCATTTCTTTTTTCCAATTCCTTGCTATAAGCAGTCTTGCTATAATTAGTAAGTTTGTTATCGCTTCTTTATCCTCCTTTTTCAATTGCTTATCGTTATATAATGATAGTAAGGCTATACTAGGACTTTTATCTATTTTTATATTCATTATAGTTTCTATTTCTCTAAATACTTTCTCCCAAAAATTATTTACATATTTACATTGCCACCACATGTGTATATATGTTCCTGGTTCTTGACACCCTCTCCAACAATTTATTGAGTTATTTTTATCATATATGCTATTCTTACCGGTGTCAAGTACCACTTCCATATTAACTTGTAATAATTTTCTTTAACTCGTATCGATAAATTTTTTAAATGTCTTTGTCCCCATAATTGTTGCCACTCTATTTCACTTATTTTTATCCCTAAATCCTCTTCCCAAATCTCTTTAAGGGTGCACTTTTTTGTTTTTTCATCCTTCATTTCAATTAGTATCTTATAAATTTTGCTAATTATACCTCTCAAGTTTTCGTGTTCTTCTACAGCCCTTCCCTTCTGTATTATTTGTTCGAATTGATTGAGTTGGCTTCCACTTCTATTATTTTTTTTCCAGTTTATTAACCATTGTTCTAATTGTATACAATGAAACCATGACAATTTTATTTCTTTAAACTCTTCCAACATCATTTCCCTCTTCATTTCCACCTTCATCCAATCCCCTATCCTATCTAAATTTATTTCCCTTACCTTTTTATCCATTACTTTTTTTAAATTTTTTGGGAACTTCTTTTCCATCACTATTGGGGTTATAATTGATCCCTCCTTTATTAACCTCCCCTTATATTTATTCCATACTTTCAGTATGTTACTCAGCATTGGGTTTCTAATTTCCCTCATTTCTTTTCTAGTAAACTGTTTAAAAAATATATTCCAGGTTTCATCTTCCACTTTTCCTGAATCATTACTAAGCCAATCTATCCCCTCTTTTTTAACCATTCCTTCTATAACCAAACTTAATCTACTTGCTTCATAATATTTTTTTATATTAGGTAGCGCTAGTCCACCCTCCTTTTGCGATCTGTACCATAACTGTTTATTTAGTCTGTTTCTTTTACTTCCATTACAGTACTTATTAATCATTTGTTGCCATCTAGTTAGTTCTTCTTCTGTAATTTGAAGTGGTAGCATCCTAAATATAAAATTTATTTTTTGAAGTATTTTCATTTTTACTAATGCTATTCTTCCAAACCAGGATAAGCGTATACCTTCGTACTCTATTAACTTTTTCTGGACTTCTTTCCTTAATGTTACTACATTTACTTCCTCTATCTCTTTTAAATCCTTAGTTATTATTACTCCCAAGTATTTTAATTTATTCTTAATTCTTATTCCCATTTTGCTCTGTTCTATAAAATCTTTTTCTTCTTCTCTTGTATAATTAAGTAGCATCATTTCTGACTTGTTCCAATTAACTTGTAAACCTGTTGCTTTCCCAAATATCTCCAAATGTTCTTTTATTCTATCCATTTTCTCCACTATATTTTCTATAAATAACAATGTATCGTCAGCGAATAAGCTCACCTTCTGTTTCTCCTTTTTTCCTAACCCTTCTAAATTTTTATCATTCCTTATGTTATTAGCAAACAGTTCTATCACCATAGCAAATAGTATCGGAGACAAAGGGCACCCTTGTCTGGTTCCTCTAGTCACTTTTATTTCGTTTGTCACTCCGTCATTTATAGTTACCACTGCTGAGTTCCTTGAGTAAAATTGTTTTAGTACTCCTTTTATTCTATTTCCCATTCCAAATTTATTCAATATTTCCCTTAATGTCTCCCATTCCACACAATCAAACGCTTTAAAAATATCTAATGATAATATCCCTGCTTTTTCTTTCCCCTCTTTAGCCCAATGAATTTTATTTAATACTCTCCCTATCAAATTTGACATTTGTCTTCCTTTTATAAACCCGCACTGATCTTCTTTTATGTACTTATACATACATTTATTCATTCTATTGGCTATTATCGCGGACAATATCTTTGCATCCTGATTAATTAATGATATGGGCCTATATGACCCTGGGTCTGTTAAGTCTTTATCAGGTTTAGGTATTAATATTATTAATGATCTCCTCCATGATTCGGGTATTTTATCTCCCTTCATTATTCCATTATACAATTCTAATAATTTTGGGGTTAAAACTTCTCTAAAGCTTTTATAATATTCTGTCCCTAGACCATCCAAGCCCGGAGCTTTCCCTACTTTTAATTTCTTAATAACTTCCTCTATTTCTTTTTTCTTAATAGGTTGTTCCAGTAACTCTTTATCTTTCTCCTCCAGCTTACTCTCCCAATTTTCCTCCACATATTTCCTAATTGCCTCTATGGGGCTTGCTTTGGTTTGATATAGTTCTTTATAAAATTCTTCAAATACTTTCAATTTTTCTTTCATAGCTCTACATAATTTACCTGTTTTATCTTTTATCGTATTTATCATTTTGCTTTGGTTTGGTACAGCTCTTTATAAAATTCTTCAAATACTTTCAATTTTTCTTTCATAGCTCTACATAATTTACCTGTTTTATC